GAGCTCCTCTAGCCCTTCATCCTCACTCGACGCGCCCATCCTGGGGCTCGACGGGACTTTCGGCGCCGGAGCCACTACCGGGGCCCGTGTTGGGGCCGTATCGGCCTTAGGGGCACTCGAGGTCTTTACCGGTGCCGGCCTCTTGTGCAGGGAGCGTCCTCGGGCCTTAGACTGGCCCTTCGCTTTCGCCGGCGAAGACGATCGGTGTCGTACATTTCCCCGCTGGGTCGGTGCCGCGGGCTTCAGGTGACCCGCCGGTGCCGGTTCCCGCACCGATGCCGGGGCGCTCCGCACGGAGGCAGACGGTGCCGTTGAAGTGGAGGGCTGTAACGCCGTCTCCATGAGCAGCTGCTTAAGGCGAAAGTCCCTCTCTTTTTTAGTTCTGGGCTTAAAGGCCTTGCAGATCTTGCAGCGCTCTTTCTGGTGAGCTTCCCCCAGGCAACGGAGACACGAGGCGTGGGGGTCGCTCAATGGCATAGGCCTGCGGCACGTGGCACAAGCCTTGAAGCCTTGGGCGTGTGGCATACCCCGCCGCCCAGGGCCGGTGCCGGGGTGAACAAACCACCACGGCAGGATCTTTAAGTACCCTAATGAGCTGTTAACTACTGGCTCAACACTACTATAAACTAACTGATAACTGCTAGATAACACTAATGACTATTGCTAAGAGACAGAGTTGTTCCAACGCCGCCACGGACGGTAAGAAGGAACTGGAGAGGTTGGGTCGGCAGGGATATATATACCCTGGAGCGGGGCGCCGCTCTGGCGGGAAGGAGGGGGCCCTGCCAGCCCGACGGGAGCTGCTAAGGGAAAAAGTTTCCGACGTCCGTGCACGCGGCGCGCGTACACCTAATGTGTAATGGACGTGAACAATCACTCAAAGAAGAACCCAAGTTACTGATACAGACTAGCTTGTGGGATTTGTAAGGATCCCAGAACAACTTTTAGGGTTCATGCAACACCTTGTCATGACACTACATCGTGATGCTGGAATAATGTTTTGACATGCTGATGCAGCATCACAACAAAATAGTGTTCTCATTTTTCCTGCATAGCTAGTTTAAAAGTGGCAAAGCTGTGACTGGCAGCTGCTCAATGCGTAAGGAGTATTGAACATATACAGACCAGAACTTAGTTTGAGGAAACGCAGCATCCCTTGTGTTGAAATAGTGACCTGCACTGACCTCAGTTTGTGGTTTAAGGGTTATAACTCCTGCTGTCCAACCTGTGGTTATTAGGTTTCGATTATACATTTCAGCTCAAATCAATATATAGAATCAAATGATTTTTTATTTCCTCCAATTTCTAATTCATGAATTTTCTACCTTTAAAGGCTTCCAAGTTTCTCAAGCTCCTTCCAAGATGGGTTTGACCAGGAGAGCAGAAAGCACTTTCAGAGCCTATCGTTGTCTATCACAGCACAAACACTTTGTCAGCCTAGGATCTCATCTACACAAGAGCGTAAGCACAGCTATATTGGATCAGACCAATGGTCCATCTAGCCCAGTATTCAATCTTCTGACAGTGACCACTACCACATCCTTCAGAAGGAATGAACAGAACAAAGCAATTTCAAATGATCCATTCCCATCGTCCTGTCCCAGCTCTGGGCAGTTGGAAGCTTAGGGACACCCAGAGCAGGGTTTGTGTCCCTGACCACTTTGGCTAATAGCCACTGAGCCCTAAACTCCATTAACTTATCAAATTCTTTTTTAAAAATCCAGTTATACGCTTTGCCTGCCCAATATCCCATCGCAATGAGTTCCACAGGTTGACTGGGCATTGTGTAAAGAAGTACTTCCTCATGTTTGTTTTAAACATGCTGTCTACTAACTTCATCAGGTGATTCCTAGTTCTTTTGTTATGTGAAAGGGTAAATAACATTTCCTCATTCAATTTCTTCATACCATTCATGATTTTATAGACCTCTATCATATCTCACCCCCCTAGTCTTCTTTCTTTCCAAACTGAACAGTCTCAGTCTTTTTAATCTCTCCTCATATGGAAGCTGTTCCATATCCCTAATCATTTTCGTTGCCCTCCTCTGCACTTTTTCCAATTCTAATATATCTTTTTTGAGATGGGACAACCAGAACAACACGCTGTGTGGGCATACCATGGATTTATGTAGTTAAATTATGATATTTTCCGTTTTCATTAACTATCCCTTTCCTAATGGTTCCTAATTTTATTTATTTGATTTTATATATTATATATATCTTGAGCCACGGATAGGACCTCTTTAAAAATATAAATATATATATATTTTTAAAGAGGTCCTATCTGTGGCTCAAGATATCCCTGACTGTAATGGTCCTCACCTGGGGTTTGGCTGGGAAGCATGGCCTACTGGTTAAGGCTGCAACCCATAACTGGCAGGGGGGTGGTCGGTAGCAGAGCCCGGGCCCTCCCACTCCATCAGGCTCTGACGCAGGATCCTTTAGATTACCAGTGGTCTGGCAACAGAGGCTGATGAAGGCTGTTTTCCCTGTGCCACTTCCTATCTCCTCCCTGGTCAGCTTAGTCCAACGCTTTCCCCTGTTGGGTGAGTCCACATCAAGAAAATAAGAGGAGATTACCAATGTGGGGAAGACAGGGATACATCCCCCTCTGATTGTTCTGGGGTGGGTCCTCCTTTCCCTCATGGAGGGCTTCTTTGGGGCAGTTGTGTTTGAGATGTCAGCCTTCCCTCTGCTCTGCGCTGCTGAAACTGTGGGCTGCAGGTCTGCTCTCTTCCAGGTCTGCCCCCAAATGAGCTGTTTCCCTGTCTTCTAATTCCTCCAACAGAAGGAGCATTTGCTGCAGGTGTGGTGGGGTGGGACTGGCTGGGCCCAAAATAATCACTTAATCACTTGTTGCCCAGTGTGGGATTTGTATACCCCATCACACTGACGTAGGTGAAAATAATAAATTTAATAGCAACTTAGTCCCTCAACAGCCCCTAAAATACACAAAACTCCCATCCCCCCGGCAGATCTAAGACTAGTACAGTTCCTCCTCCTCTTAGACTTACAGCAACATCTCATGAACTAAAACAAGTTTTCATGAAGGCAAACTCTGGAATCCCAAATTCACATATACAGCCAACATTGTTAACTTAGCAATATAACATGCAACTGCCTGTAAGGGATGGAAGAAACAAGGGAGGTGTAGAAGGATGCTAGAGAATACATCATTCTGCTATCATACTTCAAAAATGCATATATACCTGAGTTCTATAACAGGAGCAAACAACATACTGAGGAGTGCTGGTAGCCCTGGAATAGGAGGCATCAGAGATGTTTCTCTTAACAACATTGTAGATCCTATTACAAAAAAGAACAAAAATTGATAATTAACAGAAAGCCTTGACAGCACAACAAACCTCTAAGCAGTTGGTAGATAGAATTTCAGTGTCAGATATAATTTAGTTCTATGGCTATTCATATGGACAATGCTAAGTAGTTAAAGAAAAGGAAGTGAGAAAAATAAGGAACACAAATATATATTTAGAATTACCAGTTGAATTTACTGATACAGCAGCAGCAACCAACATTTTCTGAAATGGATCCTCAGGAGAATTATTGACAATTACAGAGTTTATACTCTCCTTTTCTATCCAGATACATCTAGGAAAAAATGACAAAAGATATTAACTGGCAATAAGAAAGAAAAGTCAGTAGAAACGTGTATCTAAAAACCCTTTTAAAATTATGAATCAGCCATAAGTGTGCAAAGTCAATCAAACTCACTCTAGTTAGTGAGTCAAGTTTTGAATGAATCCAGGCTCCCAGCCTTGTATTCTAGATATTAAATACAATTTCTCTGGACATTGGAACTGCGTCAAACTCTCCCATTCGTCTCAGAACTTTTAACATTATGTATATTTCTTTTTTTACTTCTACAGAACTAAATAGTATTTAAGCATAATGGTGAATTAATAAAAAAAAATTAAGATGTGAAAGTGTGTATTCCAGTAACTCTTATTTCTACCAATACAATGACCTATGGTTTGCCTGCCATTCACGACAAAAGCTTTATCATACCTGAATTTGGAAATCTGGACCATGCTGTGACACTTCAGCTCATAAGGATTGAAGGGGCCATGAAGCGTTGCCTTTGAAACAAGACAGTTCAAGTGAGTTTCAGTTTTTAGATGAAAATAAAAAGAATATATTATTTTAATACTTTATTGGACATATACTAATATCCAACTTTTTCAAACCTGGGTGCCTAAAGTTAAGTTCCTAAATTTATATCTAGGCACCTAAATAAAAATTACGCTTTTCACAGGAGCTGAGCAATCACTGTTTCTCAATAACTTCAATAGGAGCTGGAAATCCATACCACCTCTGAAAATCAGGCCATTTGTATTTAAGGGTCTAGGCTCCCAATCTTGTAGACACTACGCACATGCTTAACTTTTTGCATGAAAGTAGTCCCATTGAGTTCTATGGGGCCACTCATTTGTGTGAATTAAGCATGTATGTGGGTGTTTGGAAGACTGAACTAAAAATCAGGAGCCTAACTTCAGACACCAGATTTTTGGGGGGGAAAAAATTATATATATATATAATACAGATGAGGGTTAACTGAAAATCAGAGTACAGTACATGACACACTTTTACATAATGATCAATACTCACTGTTTAGTTATGGCTATGCTTTCCTATGAGATGCAACTAAATTAACAGTTTTGAGTTTGCCTGGGCCATCTACTGTATCACCAATAGCACTTAGTGTGCTGCAGTAACTTTGCATCACCAGTTCTATATTAGTTTACTTAGTAGGAAACCAAGAGCAGCACCTATTTGCCATATGTATTTACATTCAAGTTATAAGAAATAAATGCACAGAACCACAGCATTTGCTTTTGGATGCACGTGCGCCCACGCTCTCTCGACTGGAGAATGTCTAGTAGTGTCCATGGGCCTGCGTCTGCATAGAATAGCACCTCATGCCTCCAAACAAGGGCATGTAAGGAGGTGCAGACCCGCCGCTCCTCAGTTCCTTCTCACTATAAAGCAGAGCCTCCACAGCTCAGGGGAAGGAGGGCGGGAGGTAGAGCACCCATTAGAACAAGAACAAGAATTCTTGAAAAACTCAAGTTATTGTAAGGTAAGTAACCTCTCCTTCAAGTATGTATCCCTGCTGATGCTCCTCCGTAGGAAACTCCCAAGCAGTAACTCAATGAGGTGCTGAGGAGGTAAGTCTAAGATGGCTTGGAGGTCTGAGTCATCAAAGTAGTATCATCTTTGGAAGAAAATGTAATGCTTGACAAAGGTATTAATGGAAGATCATACTGCAATCCTACAAATTTCTGTTATGGGAACATCCTTCAATAGAGCTCTAGATGTGGACTGAGCTCTAGTGGAATGTGCCAACACCATGAGGTACTGCATCCCAGCTGATTCACAGCAGGTTAAGACGCAACCAGAAACGCACTCAGACCGCCTTTGAGTGGAAATAGGTTGACCCTTCATCCTCTCTGCAAATGATTCAAATCGCTTAGGAGAGGCCTGTAAGGTCTTAGTCCTGTCAAGGTAGACGGCGAGGGCTCTTCTGAAGTCTCGTGTATGTAGGCTGGTCTTCTCCTTGGAGGTATGAAGTTTTGGGTAGAACACTGGCAGGAAAATCTCTTGATTTATGTGGGATTCCCATGAGACCTTTGGGAGGAAGCAAGGATAGGGATGCAGTGGAACTGGTGGTATATGGGGGTCAGCCACAACAGCACCAAGCTCTCCCATTCATCTAGCTGAAGTGAAGGCTATGAGGAACGGAGTCTTGAGGGAGAGATGGATGAGAGAAAAAGTAGCCATTATTTCAAAGCTCAGAGCACTGAGAACCAAACTGAGGTCCCATTGGAGGGCCTGGTTCTGTATGGTGGGAGGAAAACAAGATATATAAGCCCTTGAGGACTCTAGTTATACTAGGGTGGGCAAAGACTGAGAAGCCTTTGATAGCTGTTATAGCAGCCAGATGTACTCTGAGTTTATTGATTGACCTTTTGTCTAAATACAAAGATAGTCCACGATTTTGGAGAGTGGAACCTCTGAGGCTTGGGGAGAGTGAAGGGAACATCAAGAGTGGAAGTGTTTCCACTTCTGAAGGCAAGTTTTGTGAGTACAAGGTTTCCTGCTAGATAGGAGAACTGACTGGACCTCATCCAAACAGGTTAGTTCCATGCTCAATAACCATCTAGAAACCACGCTCAAAGATGAGGAGTTGGGAGGGGGCAGGGTCCCCAAGTTCTGCGACAGGAGAGCCTTCCTAAGAGGAAGTTGAAGAGGTGTTGCCATGGAGAGGTGAAGCTGGTTCTATTACCATACTTACCTTGGTCAGGATGGCACTATGAGGATAACCCTTGCTCTTTCCTGATGTAGTTTAAATGGAGTCTTGAGAATCAGAGGTAGAAGTGGGTAAGCAATACAGCAGAATATGTGGCTTTGGTGTTCTGACGGCACCACCCAATAGCGTTGCAGCCATATTCTCTGTTAGAGCACAAAAAGACAGCATTTCACATTGTTTGGGGTGGCAATGAGGTCTGCTTCTGAGGATCCCCAAGCCTGGCAGATGTCGTGGGGGACAGTTGTTGAACTTCCATTCAGGGTCCCGAAGGAAGCTTTTGCTCAGGGAGTCTGCAATAGTCTTCTGTTGGTCTGGAAGACAGACAGCGGGGATTTCTATTTGACAGAAGAGGCACCAGTTCCACAACCTTAGTGACTCTGTGGATTAGGTACTCTTGGGGGAATTCTGCACCAAAAATTTAAAAATTTTGCACACTATTTTAAAATTCTGCAAAATTCTGCATATTTTATTTGTCAAAATAACACAATATAATCACTCCACTTTCAATTATTTGGTAATTTATTTCAAAATACCTGCCAACAAGTATGTCAACAATACACACAACAACAAAAAAGATTCCCCCGGGAGTAGAGCTAAAGAAACCTCTATGACAGTTGGCAGGTGCTGGAGGGGGTTGTGTGGCGCCCCCACTGCCCAGACACCCGCACTCCCCTCCCACCCAGAGCCCAGCCATGGGGTACCCCCCGAGTCTAGACACCCATGACTAGGGTGACCAGATGACCCATTTTTATAGGGACAGTCCTGTTTTGGGGGACCTTTTCTTATATAGGCGCCTATTACCCCCCACCCGTCACATTTTTTCCACAGTTGCTATCTGATCACCCTACCCATGATACCCTTCCCCCCCAGAGCCCAGCCACCCACACCCTTATCCCCCCCAGAGCCCAGCCATGGGCATCCCTTTCTCCCCCAGGGCCCAGCCACCCACACCCCTCTTCCTGCAAAACCCAGCCATGGGCATTCCCAAAGCCCAGACACCCACATCCCACTCCCCCCCAGAGCCCAGACACCCAAACCCTCCTCCCCCTCAGGAGCCCTGACACACACACGCACACACACACACACACACACACACACACACACACACACACACACTACTA